TATCAGCTGAGTTCACGTCGCCAACCCTGGGAACGTAGAACACTGGTAGGGCCAGTGTTCAGCGTTACGCCTTACTCTCCGAAATTGAATATTTTCAAAACTATGAATAATAATTTAACCAAACAAGCAACATTAGCAAGAGGGCTACTGTAGGTTCAATTACATACCGGTTTTACTATTATCCATTCATCAAAAGCGATCATATTTGAGTTATATTAAGTGTCCGAACGCTTGTTAACAAAAGCGCCCCGTACGGTAGGGGTTTATTCAATTCCTTGATGTAATGAAAATTAAACTGCCTTATAGAGGACGATGCCGAATGGGGAGTCCCGTACATTTACACGGAGAGAAATAAAAGAATAAAAGAAAAATTACGGAACATTTCACGTAATCCGCAAGCGAGAATCGTTTTCAGTGAATTTCTATAGGAATATAAGAGAATAAATCTGAAACGTTCAGTAAATTTTCGGGTCTGTCACCGAAAAAATACGAAAAAGTCACGTAATTTTTCTGGAAGTTGTAAAATCTAACGAAAACTTCAAGACTTATTATGCCTCAGTATATGGAAATTCTTGGATGTTTAAGAATTTTTACGAAAAGTTCCGGAAAAATTACGGAACGTGTTGTTAAAATCTTCCCTTCGCGGTGACTCATGGCTAGCCGTGATGCGTCAGATGGATGAGTAATTTTAACGGAACACATCGTAGAATTTACGTGACGATTGACGCTTTTTATTAAATTTTACTTCGCTCCCAGACTAAGTTTCGAAACGTAATTTTTACATCTTTTTTCTGGTCATTTTTATTGAATATTTCTCTCCGTGTATGTGAACATCCATAATAATATATGCGTTGATTCAAAGAGATTTGAATTCCTTAGCAGTTATCCAGCCACAATTTTAAAAATAATGTATCAGGGACCGTGGTTGTATACTGAAACCCCATTTAATAAATAATAACTTTTTTTTAAAAACTGGGACGAAATGAATAACAAAAAGAGTATAAAAATAAAAAGACATGTCTACGGAAAGACACGAGATGAAAACATAACGATAAAGAACACTATGGTAGTTCTACAATACTACTGTATGAAAATATTTATCTTTTGTTAGAGGGAATTCTTATACTATACCTGAAAAAAGTATTGATTTTACCACACTATTAGTGAATAAAACTTCCAACATTTATGTTAGAATTTCGGGTCAAATTTTTTCAACCGTGAAAGAAACGATCGTACATGAAGATATAGTTGAGAGGGAGGAAAAGAACAAATATGCAACAATATATTTTCCCACTAAATCTCTATACATGTCTTCAAGATTGTTGTACCCAGCGTGGGGGGTACTTATAATTATAGTAGGTTCTAGGCTTGAAGGGATCAATCCTACCCAATGGTTTATCGGCATTTAAATATGAGAATTTACTACATTGAGAGAAAAACACGTTGTCAAACAAGTCTTGTTTGGGCCAACAAAATCGCTAGTTGAAAATTGCCAAAAAAAAATTTGTTTGGTTCGAATTTGAAAGTCTCAAACATGAATAATTGTTCTCCTTTCGACAGCAACGAAATATTTGGCTCCAGAGGCGGATAATTTACAACAGAGGGTGCCTTTTCAGGATGAAAATATCTCATATAGAGCAAAATTTATGAACAAATATTTTATCCCTAAGTTACAAGATTGCTATCATATTGTGACGTCCGACAAAAAATCTGTTTAAATAATTTTTTTCATGAATTTCATGTGATCTGAAGATCACCAGATGTTTTTATCTCCGATAAACATTTTTCTCACGGACTTGAATATTTATTTTTCTCATAGTTTTAAAGTGCAACTGCACAAAATAAATTATCATGAATACACAATTTTGGACTAAAATTCCGGGAAAAATAAATAGGAAAAATTTGTTTCAAAAAAAATATAAGCCGACAAACACTCTTCAAGTGTTTGTCTCTGGCGATATATATTTTTTTCTATTTTACGACTTGCAGGCGACTGCATGTCGCCGACCAAAGGTTAAAGGTCTGGTCCAGACCCCCCCAAAATCGCTAGGAATTTTCCGATAAACATAAGACTTTCCTCATGTTCCTTCGCGCCAGGCAGATAAGGAACACAAACAGAAAATTCCAACGGTCGAGGGACACGTATTCGTACCCTCGCCTGGAATTTGTTCTGGTAAACAAATTTGAAATAATATTTTCCATTTTGAATCTTTTTTGCTTCCGAATGGAAGCATTGTTTTTACCAAAAATACATTAATAGAAGTTTTCCTCTTTTTCAAACAATAATAATTAATTGAATTGAGAATTATTTTAGAACTCTCAATCCAGAGAATTTCGAATCATCAAAATGTCCAATTATAGTAATTTTTACAAGAAAATGTTTATATTCTCACTTCACTAAATTGTACTTCACTTACTATACACTGAATCGTTCCATTTGAAGTGAATTGAAATATTTGATTTTCCAAAATTCTCAATTCAAAGAATTTCCGATTATCAAGATGATAATTATTAATTAATATAGTTGAAGAATTCAAACGTGTAAAAATTATGAAATTAATAATTAAAGACGACATCGACAGTAGTGGCCGTGCGGTTAGAGTGCTAGACTCGTATGCCAATGATCCGGGTTCGCTTCCCGGCACCGGCGGTCAAAATTTATAGCGCTCTAATCTCACAGTTTCACTGCCGAGCGGTAGTCCCGTCAAAAAGGACGACTGTACCAGGGAAGGTTTTTCCCTCGAATGAGTTTTTCCCTCCCTTCGGCAAATGCGGTACAGGTGGTTGAGGGGGGTGGGAAGGGAACAAATCGTAAAGACCCGAAAGGGTATACGAGAAGAAAAAAAATTTTTAATTAAAGACGACGTTCAAAAAAAAAGTAGGAATAGGTAATCGTTAATAATAGTTTTTGATAAAAATTAATAAAAAATTAATTGATTAAGATAATTAAATTAGACATTGTGGGGGGAGAGAATGGGCCTTCTAAAACAATTCTCATTGGCTAGTTGGGGGTGGAAAAGTCCGCCCACACCCCAACAAAAATGTGAAATCTCAATGTGGAAGGGGATGGAGTAAGCCTGAAACATTGGGACTGATGAATCTGGAGAGGGACGACTTGGGCCCAAGGTCGTGTGCCCTTGGCCCTGAATCTTCCCTCCAGAAGTGTGTGAGGTCACACCCTTAGTGTGGTTAATAAAACCACTTGCACTTCGGGTTTTTCTTCAGTTTTCTCATCAATTCCAAAAGTGGAATTTTAGAATCGACCCATTGGGCGATTTTTCATGAGAATTACTTGATTCTTTTTTTTTATTATTCAGAATCTTTCAAGATTCTTTTATTAGTCCTTCAGTGACTTTTGATTTAAATTGAAATCTTTTGAAATTTCATTTTCTTCAGTTAAATCTATAAAAGTGTAATTATTAAATAAATTTTTTAATTGTTTTGAAAATTTATTTAATAGTTACACTTTTTTATTGTGTTGGCGGCAAAAATAACCCTAAGGATTAGCAGAGATAATTAAGAAGACCTGTAAGTCAATCATTATATCTGTATTTCCTTTTAATTTGAATTTTTATTGTTAAAATATAGATTCGCAAGAATTAGTTTAGTAATAATTCAAATTTCTCTTTATTTCAAACCCTTGTCTCTTCCCCCTTATTAATTCCTTCTAATTATTATTTTTTGGATATAATTTGTTGTACAGTGAAATCAATTAAAATTTGAATTCTCCAGTAATTAAATTTTCAAGATTCGTTTGTTTGTGTTGAACAATTAATTCCTTTAATTATCATAATTGATATCTAGGAATTTAGATTATGTCGGAGTTGAACTTAATATTGTGAATTTTCTCTCACTATTCCATTCGAAATAGTCAACTTTGACATAACACCACTAAATCTCTATACATTTCTTCAAGATTGTTATACCCAGCGTGGGGGGTACTTATAATTAATTATAGCAGGTTCTAGGCTTCAAGGGATAAATCCTACCAATGGTTTATCGGCATTTCAATATGAGAATTTACTACACTGAGAGAAAAACAAACACGTTGCCAAACAAGTCTTGTTTGGGCCAACAAAATCGCCAGTTGAAAATTGCCAAAAAAAAATTTGTTTGGTTCGAATTTGAAAGTCTCAAACATGAATAATTGTTCTTCTTTCGACAGCAACGAAATATTTGGCTCAAGAGGCGAACAATTTACACCAGACGGTGCCTTTTCAGGATGAAAATATCTCATATGAAGCAAAATTTATGAACAAATATTTTATCCCAAAGTTACAAAATTGCTATCATAGTATTATTATTGTTTCATTTAAGGGTTCATTTCTTATCTGTGATTATTAGACAGCAGAAACGAAAAACTACTATCCCTTGTTTCGCATAAAACAAAGATTTTTCTGGGGCAAAATACGTATGGGAGTATCGAATAACAAAGGAGTGTTAGAAGTAGAGTAGTGCTAGAAATGACATTTCTTGCGTGTACAGAGAATGCAATTTTTTTTTAACTACTAAATCTATTTTTGCGACAAAAATTTTTCATTCCGACGTACTCTCTGCATGTTTGGCACAAAAAAAAATCCTTTTTTGATAATTGTCAAAAAACTATTTTCTTGACACAAGTAAGACTTGTTTGAAAACTTTGTCGTTTTTCTCTCAGTGTACTTGATTATAATTACTGTCATCTGACTGATTACAAAGAGTTTACGACTTTTGTACGCATCGGAGTCGAAATCAGGTCTGATCTGTGCAGAACCTACTGTCCCTTAAATAATACATTGATGGTTTATATTTCATCACTTGGCCACCATAATCCAGTTACGCTGGCAGAGTGTCACGGTGACAATGCTGTATTTCCACATATTCAACAATAACGCATAACGGCCGCAAGACATTTCAGTCAGTGCCATAAAAATAGATGATGAAGAAGAACGATAACGCAATTGACCAAATCTGGGGCATAACAAGATGACTTTCTCTCTAATTGCGTCTTTCGATTTCAGATTGGATTTTCTTTCGCATTCTGACGAAACATTAAACATCACCGAGAACAACACAGATTTATAAAAATGTCCGAATATGATGAGGTGTATGAAACCGTCCGAATGGGAGCGGTCGGGGCTGGTGGCATTTTCGGGACAGCAAACTATGGCCTCGGCGGAGGGGCTGTGGGTGGCATAGCTGGTGGTGCAATCACCGATACTGTTTTCTCCGTAGTGACAACCAGACCTCACGGTTATATTAAAGACATGACTGACACCATGATGGATGGTGCCAAAGGCAGAGTGCCAATTGTATCGGCAACAAGGGCAGGTCGCAGGTTGGTAACAGATGGCGTCAGTGGAATGGTGGCCGGGAAACTTTTCTGCCCAGGCAACGCTACCTTCGTACTTTCATAATAACTTACTAAATATTGGGAATTTTAGCCCAAGAATATCAACATAATGACGTCAAAAGTTTTTGATAACACTTCTTTAATGCGTCAGCAATTTAAAAAATTATCCACTGATAGTGAGAAACGAAAATGAATCCTTCATCATGAGTGTAAACAACGGATGGATCAAGAGTCGTTTTGACAATATTTTAGAAGAAAAATAAACAATTGTTGTTATCAAGATACCCAAAGTCGTGTTGTATACCCACTAATTTCTTAGAAACACTTTCCCAAAACCTCGTGTCTCTCTTCAAGCGTCCACCGAATATTTCCACTCCAAAGATCCTTTCATTCAAATATTTTATTACGGTTTTATAACTCAATCCCAAAAATCTGAGAAATAAATCGTTTCAATCGTTTTATCCTTCAGTTCCAAATTCTTCAGAATCGTTCAATTGCCTTCTCGGTACTTTCCCAGTACCTCGGACCCCTTATCCCCCACTTTTCCAATACCTCAGTGCCTAAAACCCTTAATCCGGTATTTTCCAATGTCTTTCCCCATAGACTCTCTTCAGTACGTACCTTCACTGAGAAAAAAAAAGTACTATTGCCAAGTAAATTTACTAACTACAAGAAAATCCAGATATTTCAAATTCAAATATTTATATACATTTACTTGTGACAAGTAAATTTACTTGGCAGAAGTAATTTTTTTTCTCACTCTTGCCCTTCTCTAAGTCCAACCCTTAAGACTCTTCCCTCGTCTAAATTAACCACTCACTCCAACCCCTACTATTCACCCCCTGATAGATCAGATCTAGAGTTAACTCTGGGTCAACTCGGGGTTTATGGAAAAAACTCAGCGAAAAAAGAGAGAAACTCTGGGAAATTTCCATGAACCCAGAGTTAAGGCCACCATACACGGACGTACGGTGTACGCGGACCAGCCGAAATTGAGCCTCCAAGAGACCAAGTTCGCCTGTGTGTGGAGGGTCACGGAGCAGGTTCGGCCGACCGGGTCCGTGGTGCGTGGTCTTTCAAGACGGCTTGAAAACCGGGTCCGTCGCGTACCAAAATTGCCCTCAAGTTCGTCCGTGTATGGTGACAACGGACCCGGTACGCGGACCGGGAGCATTTGCGCATGCGCGATCCCCAAAGAAAAAATGAATAGAATCCATTTTGCTTTAATAATATTCTTGTTTTAATAATAAAGTAATATTAAATAATTCGTCAAATATATTCATCATTGCCCTTGACCCAAATTATGAATTTATTGATTAGAAATTGAATCATTTTGCACGCGACAAAGAGTAATTCCTAATTTCTGTGGAAGATCTATTGATCTTCGATTGGATTCTTATAGAGAATTCATCCAGAATAAGGGAATTTTTTGTTTCCCCTGAATAAAATATTTCCATTGAAATACATATATGAAATTATCCATTTACAGTGAGAATATTGTTGAAATGCATACAAAATATTAAAATGAAGACATTTCATTTGTCATGATTTTTCAAGTAAAAACAAAAACATTCGATGATCGGAATACTCTTAATCGAAGAGATTCATCGCGGAATTGTTTAAAATCATATGAAGGTATCAATATCGCAGACATTCTGGTCGTTCCGTGTATGGGGGTGTACAGGCCACAGACCGTGTCCGCACGGACCGGGTCTGCCTACGCCGTGCGCCTATGTATGGTGGCCTTTAACTTTGGGTTTGATTCATCAAGGCCCTTAGAGGACTCTAATTGAAAACTCTCTGTACTCCAACCTAATCGTAATTATTCGAACAGCCTAACAAGCAATTAAACATCTATTCAAAAAGATATCCAATGTATCGCAAATTGTACTTTTATGTAATCTCAAACAAAGATTTCCTGTTTGAATTGAAGAAAGTTTATTCATCAATCCGAAATCCAACAGTTGACTCGGTAAGAGCTAGTGTGGATTAACCGAGCCCGAGCTAACTCCGTAAATACGGCTAGCTCAATACATCGTATTCACTTCATCGATTCCGAGAAATTTGTTTGTGAACATCCGGTTGAGGATCTCAACCACGTATTCTTTGAATGCTCCAGATTCAACACACATAAGGAAGAATTAATGGAAAAATTGCATTCCCAGTGCACATTGACACAATACTCATTGCACTGGACCCTAGAGTAATCACAGCATCGAGTAAATTCTTGAAATATTGTGTCTATGATTTCATATCTCATATTATTATAAAGATGTAAATGCTAATAACCCCAGTATTGATTTTCAAAAGCATTCTTTAATAAAAAATTCAGTGTAACGTTTTTTGAAGCCAATCTATTCGGTGTAATGTGTCATTACCTTTTTTATAAATAATGATAACATACATTAAAGATATTACGATAATACTCTATTACATTATATTCTATACTATACTATATTATAATTATTTAGGCATATATAATGGTATATGTAATGTAACACAATATCGTATACTCAATGTATGTTATTATTGTTATCAGTTTATTATTTCATTTTTTTTAATTATCTGCAGTATATTTTATAGTGCGTATAGTGCTCTTATATGTATAGTATATATTATCCACAGTTTATATCATATAGTATAGTATAGAATATAATATAATACAATATTATCGTAATATCGTTAATGTATATCATCATTTAGAAAAAAATCTCATGACACAATACGCCGAATAGATTGGCTTCAAAAAACGTAACACTGGATGTAGTATATATAAAAAAAAAATACATTGCAGAAACTTTCCCTTCGGAAAACTTGATATTAACTTCAGAAATTTAATATAACAGTATTCACTACAATTGACATACATTGAGCCCCATGGAGTAGAACAAACCGCGCGCAGAGCGCACGGTTTTTATCTAGTTAATAAAAAAAGTAAGAGATGACAAGGGCATTGAATACTTTCAATGGTTTTACAAAAAAGGTAGAAAACTGGTCAGAGGGTGGACACCAGCGTAAACTGAATTTTTTGATCGAAAATTCACATTTAGAATATTTTATTTTGGTTCTCATAATAAACTGTAAGAAAAAAAACTTGAAAAATTCAGGCCTAATAATTCTTTTTTACGACATGCCAACAGAATGAGTTGTATAGAAGAAACAATATGTGTAGACTTTTCTGCAAAATGAATATCTATTTACAAAGACCCGAGAAATTTTCATGATTTTTAATCAAATTGGCACACAAAACATAGAATTCTAATAGAACTCCACTAGAAATTCAACAGAATTTCTTAGAGAAGCGTCAAGTTATTCTATTCAATTTTTGTACAATATAGGATTTTGAAAATTCTAAAAAACTAAAACCCTAAACTAAATTTAACTTTTTGAAAAAAATCGACAACAAAAAAAGTTTCGCCAAATTTTTGTTTATAGAGAAAATAAAAACAACAGAGGCCAACAGTATGATTGTTCATCGAAGACTTTATTCAAGTACAATTGTGCCAGCTTATCACATGATTTGTTCGTAAGGAATTCCTTCAACATAAATACTGATAATTCATGTATCTAGTAGCATTAAGTTTCTGAGATTAGCCTCTGTGCTATTATTCTGCCTTGCGATCGTCAGGTACTCGTCATTGATTTCATCTGATTGCATTTTTGTGAAATAAGACTCTCTCTCGGTGATTATATAGCGTGAATCGTCGTAATTGAAGTAGAGACCTAGGACAATGTTTAGGGCTGATGTGTCGTAGGAGTGACAGCCGGAATAGCGGTACTGGGGCTTTTTGTTGAATCTGCAGCCAAATGATTGTGCACCTGTGGATCAATCAGATTTTCCATTCTTCATTTACTCCCAAATATACACTTCCATTCGTTTTTTTTTCGTTTCTCAATTTCAATAAGTTTTCATTTTTCTTTGGCATGATTTTTTTTCTGTTGCATTTCTTTTTTAAATGAAGAATTTTTACAGAAAAATAATACAATTCACATCTATTGAATCTTCTTTAGTAAATATCTATCAAAAAATCCGACGACAAAACTGCATAATTTTTTAATTTAGGTTTTACACTGCTGAAAATTTTTGGCTGACATTTTCGGTAAACTTTTTCGAAATTCTTATTACATTATACTTCCTTTCTATTCAATTTCTATTGGAACTCTAAGAGAATTCCATTGGAGTGCTATTAAAATTCTATTGAAAAATTCAATAGATTTTGATTCTTCTCCAGAAATTTTTTGGCATAAATTATCCAAGTTTTGTCGCTAGATTTTTATTTTTTCTCATGATAAAATCCAAAAAAAGAAAATTGACAATTCATGCTCGAGAATTCTTAAAGAAAAAACATGATTTTTCTATATTTTTCTTTTTTTTTCTGTAAAAAAATATCGTTTTAGTAAAGAAAGAGTTTCATAATGTTTAATTGAATTGGCACAAAAAAAAACAGAATTTCTGAATAGAATTCTTATGGAATTCCAGTAGAATTGTTATAGAGTTCCAACAGAAATTCAATAGTAATCCTTGAATTTTTTCTCATACGTTCCACTGAAAATTAAGGGGATTTCGTCGTTGAAATTTTGAAATTCTATGGAGAAATCAATGAAAGCTACAATTTTCAGTCCAATTATTCGATAAAAATGAATAGAAATCGGAAAAATACAGGTACATATGTCCTTGAATTGTCAAGTCATTGACAATTCAGCGTAATTTGGAACTGAATATTTATATTTGGAAATTTTCATCCACCTGTTGCTAAAAAATCTGCATTTCATTAAATTTTCAGTGGAATCTTAAATTTCATGACTGTTTCCTCTTGCAACGAAGCCAATGTTACTTTACTGAAACTTACTGATGAAATTTTCATAAAATTACAATTCAGTAGCGAAGTGGTAAAACGGTTTAAGTCGACTTATCTCCCAGTCAATATAAAAAAAAAATTATCTCCCAGTTGAGTTTTTGAGGAATATTGTCGAATGTAAGAGAGATAGCGAAATTTTGGTAATTACATTTGTTGTAGCTCTCAGTCAGCTGGAACAAAAGGTTTTAACAAAAATTTTTCTATCTCCCTTAGATTCCGAGACATTCATTGAAAACCGACAAATAGTCAAAATTGACTTAGGTATACCGTTTTACCACTTCGCTACTGAATTTTTTTCTTAAGAGTGGATATTAAATTTCTTCGAACATTTTTTTAAACTCACCTATAGGACAAATACAATCTCTCGTTAGTGCACATTGTACCCAGGGTAGCATGACATTCTCCCTGATTTCTTTAGTATTTCTAATGACTAAGTGTGAAGCTCTTATCAAAGGAAGAAAGAAAAAACTGTCCGAGGATGCATGAAAGTATTCATACATTTTGGGATGTGTCAGTGAACTTATTGCATGCTTCGTTGGCCATGTGAATATCCCAGAGGGTGGTGAAAGGTACTTCGATACATCGGAATTGTTTATTCTCACGTTTGAGTCCATGTATAATATATTTCCTAGAGTATTTAAAGCTGTCTGGAAATGAAATAAATTATTCATAATGTCATGTGATGCGATTCCATCGTTATTAATGCTGAATAATGCACGGATGAAAAAATGCTATAGAACAACCTCGCAGACGGTGAAATTTCTATTGAATTTTCAAGTAGTTTATGGTTGATTTTAATCAAAAAGTTCAAAGCTTATCTGTGCGTTTTTTAGCAGAAATGTTCACTGAGAAATATTCTATAGAAAAAATTACCATGATTTGATTTTTCTATAGAATTTATTCTATTGAGATATTTTCTATTGAAATTCCTCGACTCAAATTTCATTCTGTTTTTTGGCTAAGAAGGTAAAGGATTTTCATGTCGAGGAATTTCTATAAGAAATGTATCAGTAGAAATTCAATTTTTAATTAATTTATTTAAAAAAATTAAGTGACTAAACTAAAATATAATTTTTTCATTTTCACTTTGATTTTTTTATTTGTTTTACTTACTGAATCAATCAATTATTTATATTTTTAAACTTTTATCAATGTCTCAATAAAAATTTAGTTTGTAAGGATAATCGGGTGAGCCCGGAGGGTTAGAAAAAAAGCAGCCATTTTTTTCTTTTTTTTTACGTATTCTTTAAATGATGGAAAAGGCGTGTGTAAAGTTTCAGACTGCTGGGGAGCATGGTTAATTTATCATGAATTTTTGAAAAAGTGGTCATTTAACCCGTGATCTTATGGAAATCACAAAAACAACTGCAAAACCCAAGGAAAAAATGCAGCCGAAGTCATGAAACTTTAGACACATTTAGAACATGTGATCAATGATTTTTTGAGTGAAAAAGATTGTTGCCTAGGAGCATTGTTTATTAATAATAGCGAAAAAAGTACTGAAAAATGAAATTTCTGTGCACGCAGCCCAAACGAGCAGCAAACGTTCCAAGTACCGATCGTTTAGGGGTGGCGCCGGTCAATTTAAACGTCTCTTGAGAGAGAACGATAAAGTGTTGTGATTGGAGCTCCCTCGAGCCAGTGGTACCAGCTCCTAGTGAAAAAAAAAACTACCGACGATGTTGCCACTTTTTCGCATGGATTAATAATTTTTCATTTATTACAAAAAAACAATCTGAAAACCATTCAATGCGTGGAACAGATACAAATAAATTTGATTAGCTCCAAAAATAATTTTTAACCGGAGATACTCTCTAATATTGCCTGAATTTTGAATCCCAATGGGAAAATTTTTTTTGTTCAGCGATTGTTTTTCTGCAGGAAAACAATAGAAACCCCCTCAGCCTCACCTCCTACATTTCCTCCGCGCCCGATTATCCTGAAGGCCCGGGTATATTATCTTTCGAACGTTATCTCGATATTTTTTTTCATCTTCCGCCATCTAAAATTGTCAATTAAGTCCTGCATCATGCAGAAGTTTTGAAAAATTATGAATGAATAATCGAAAAAAAAGTAGAAAAAATTCTCATTTTTTTCAAAGAGTATTTTTAATTTATATTCAGAATAAGTTGAATAACAAGAAATTGAAAAATATATCTGATTTACGGTGACAAATGGCGGCCTGTCAGCCAATATCATGCAGGGGGAAGACTGATTTCGTAAATATTTTCCCACACGGCACAGAGACATTTATTACGGAAAAGACTGAAAAAAGTTGTAATATTTTGGAGAATTTTTTAATCACACTTTTATTACATAAAAATGGCAGATAACTACATACCACTGTTTTGAAAATTGAGATACCTAGCTGTCACTTCCCATGAGGAGTTAGTGTTTTGTTATCCATCGTGTAAAATGACAGCTAATAGATAATTTGCCACAGCGAATCAGATATTTGTAATTTCCACTTTTTTCAACTCATTCTGAATTTCAATTGAAAACGCTCTTTGAAAAAGTTCAGAATTGTTTCTATTTTTTTTATCATTCTATCATAATTTTTGGGAATTTCTACATGATGTACCACTCAATTGACAATTTTGGATTACGAAAAATAAAAAAAATTCAGATAACATTCGCAAGAATGGTTCCTCTTGGACATTTTTAAAACGATAGAATTTTCTATTGAATTTGCTAGTTTTTTCTGTAAAATTTTCTCGTGCGAGTTAATTTGTTAGAAATGGAAATGTATTTACCTGTATGACTAGAGGTCGATAGACATGAAGTCTATCATCTTCAGCGTGATTGGGGAATGGCGTCAAGTCAAACGGTACGACAGTGCATCTGCTTGAGTTACATATTGCTCGCAGATTCAGCATGGCATCGTCGTTCAACCCCACTCCGTAAATTGCAATGTTATTTGTTGGTAAAAAGTGCGATACATTTTTTATAAATCCGTAAATATTAATCTCATTTCCTGGTCGTAGCAGTGTAACGATGGTTACATTCTGAGGTTTTGATAGTAGGGATGGGGTGCTTGGTTGACTATCGAGACCAAGTAGTGCGAGGTACTTGGAGTCTGTCACTAGCCTTTTTTCCTCGACATCTTTCAAGTTTTCCTGCAATTGTGGAATTGAATACTTTTATTTGTTCGAGTGGAACAATAGATTTTTTTAAATTCATATTTGGTAGCAATATTTCTATAGAACCAATAAATTTTTGAATATAATTGTTAATAATATTACAAAAATGCCCATCATTATACTAATATCGCAATCATTCGTCTGGATCTAAGTTCAATTCACCAATTTTTCAATAGAAATTTTCTCTCCATAAATTTTTTAACCTCTTTTGTATTGTATTTCTTAGAAAATTCAAGAAGAGATTTTTGTATTGTATTTGAAAAAAATTCTCCATTCAACCATATTCAGCATTCTGTTGATATTTTTGCTGTAGGAATTGGAGGATAAACTTCATAAGTCAGTTTTCACTGGTTCCTCATTATTTGAACAACAGAATTTAAGAAAAACTAGAAATTTCCATTTCCAGGGATTTTTACAGAAAAAATATGGACAGAATAGATTGCGTCGAAGAATGAAATTCTATTGGCTTTTTATGTTGATTGAGATTTCGTATCAATATTTCTATAAAAACTAATTAATTTTTTTATTTAATTTTTCTATTCAATTCCTTGGGAAAATGCAAGGGTTTTCTATTGAATTCTTAAATAATAAATAATATTATTATAATCCTCTAGATTTAAATGCAATTCACTTGCTTGCAGTTCCCCATTTCAAAAATATATTGAAAATCAGTTGGAATTCTATTAATTTTTGTGAATATATTCGAGGATGAAGGCGATAGCAATAATCGTTATTTTGATTCATTTAAAAATTTGCAAAAATTTTGTATTTTTTTGCAAATCAGAATTCCGGGGATTTCTTTGAATATCATGCTTCAAATGAATTCAATCATAGTTTAAAACGTTTGTTTTAATGTCATTAATTCGAAGTCACGAGATAATTTCGATAGCTGTATTGGTTGATTTAATTGTTATGATGATTGTTGAAAATTCCAAATTTTTCATGAATTTTCCTGAAAGTGAGCTTTCTGATGGTTTCTTCAAATCTACTGTTTCAAATTCATCCAAGTACGTATAAATAACATTTTTCTATCAACTTTTTATCGAAGGGCTGAGCGGAGAGATAGAACCGTAAGAAAGACAATCGGTTGTACAGAAGGAAGAGATAGGGGAGGTAGGGGCAAAGCGGACCCTCTAAGCGAATCGTTTAGTTTTTTAAATTCTAATGAGTCAATGCACTTCACGTGGAGATCATAATCTCATTAGAATTGCAATTAAGATCTGTCATTAAATTTAAAAAAAAATTAATGTTGGGGCAAAGTGGACCCTCTGTTTTTTTAAAATTATTTTAATTTTCCGTTTGTCAGGAGTCATTGTCATGTTGTTCTACCGATTGGATAGAATGTAATCGCTGTTGATCAAAAACTCACATTTCTTGTTCACAATTAGATCCGCAGGAGCTCGCACAAATTTATACTTGCCCTCATTGCATATTTTTTTAGTCAAGGTAGTAAATTTCACTTTATAAAACGTATTAGAATAATTCTGGCGACTCGATTCAATAATTTATGTGAGGGTCCACTTTACCCCACACTTTTTTTTTTTTCGAAGGGGTCCGCTTTGCCCCGGGGGTCCGCTTTGCCCCTACCTCCCCTAATAAGAATAATGATGATGATAACATTCAACTAAGTTGAAAATCTGACAAAATTAGTTGAAAAGAAATCTCATTCAATTTAATAAAATGAAGTAAACAATGAATTGATATGATAGAAGGAAATGATCTGCAAAATAACCACGTGAAAGCATATTGCTAATTTATTAGCAAAAATAACTATACTATAACAATATAACAGCAATTCGAAGTCACTTGTTTTATATATGCAATCCCAAAAAAATTCCCGCAATAACAAAAAAATAATAATATCCCCCAATTACCTGGAAGCTCCGCAATTGTTTATGCGTCTCCGTTACTAAAGTTTGAATGGAAGGTCGCTGATAGCTGAACCCAATAAAAACAACACTAGTACCAACCAAGCAAATCAGGAACAGCAGCAATCCCTTAAAGCGCATCTCTCATTTTTTTACACCATTAAATTCCGTATTTCCCTGAATATAAATTTGGTCAAAATACTTGATTGTACCCTGTCTCTTTGTCTCTTAACAATAGTGAGGTTAATTGTTCCATCAAACGCATCATCAACATCACTTCACACTCTGATATGTATTCAAATGGCGCTTATCCATAGAAATTCGTTTCACATTTGTAAGAGTATCAAAAACACCCACTGATTCACGTGCAAATCATTTTTGTGTCACAAAATGACGAGCAACACCTTGACAATTGTTTTACCATCTCCATCGCCCGTTCGACACTCAAGATTGGTTCACAACAGAAGCAGTCACTCGGGGGAATTAATTTCATAGGTCTCGTCTCATTCGCTGGATTCACTGGAAACGGGACGTGATGAGAGGCCTCATTGGACGAGCCTGAGGTTTTGAATTAACTGATTTGTTGAGATTCGCCTCTCTTTGGGCGGAGTGAATCTGTTCTTCTGTTGTTTACGTCGGGGGACAGTCGGAGATCGTTTGTGGGGTTAGACGAGGGTTTTTAGTGACAGTTGTAGATTTGAGCACGAATTTTCGGGCGAAAGGAGCTCTGAACAGATTTGGTAGCTGGTGAAGGTTGAGGATTGTTTTGGGGTCGGGACGCGATGGCGACTATGGACGATTGGGACAGCATCGGGACGGCGAGGAAGAGTGTCAGTCCGAAAATGATTAGCAGGGCACCGGGCATCGGCGAAGGGGTGGACGAGTACCTGGAACCGCTTTTGAATAGAGTTCTGATGGCGAAACCGTTTGGTGAGATTTTTTTTAGTTCTTGGGGTTTTGTAGGTTGATGAATGCTGAAATTGTTTATTTCAGTACTAAAATAGGGATTAATTGTCAATTGTTGATGAAGGTTTTTTTGTGGGCACATTTGTCATCAGATTTTTGTGTGTAATGATGCTGTTTGATGATTGACAGTTTTTGAATCAACTTGAGAAGATTTTGTTACGATAACAAAAGACTAATGGGGGATGAGTATCTGAGAGCCTCATCTCGAGTTTTTTGTTTATTTTCATCTGGAGATACTTCTCTCAGTAAAGTTGAGGTTTGAGAAATTGTGTTTTTTTATTTATTTATAGAATTGATGATTACTCAAACTGTTTATTTCACTACTGAAATCAACATTAATTGTCAATTGAAGGGATTGTCGAATCTGATTGATTATTCTGTCGATGACGGTTCTTTTGTAGACACATTTATCATCAGATTGTAATGTATTAGGGCACAATTTGATGATTTTAACAGTTTTTTAAGCAACTTGAGATGATTTTCGTGTAATAACAAAAGATTCCGGGGGTGGAACCTGGGAACCTGGAAACGCTTTTGAATGAAGTTTTGATAACTAAATCCTTTGGTGAGAGCGTTTCCTCGAGTTTTTTGTGCGGGTTTTGTAGGTTGATTCCACCGCTACTTATTACAGTGGTGTAATATTATTGCACATTTCATCGCAAAAACTCATCACAACATTATTCATTACAAGAACGATTCATTACAACACGATTTGTTATTGCAATAATTTTGAATTTCCTATCGTATTTCCATTTTCAAATAATTTAAAGACACACCGAGATTTAATTCCCAACTTTATATACAATATCAATTCCTCATCGTATGTCCATAATTTTCCCCGAAATGGCAATCGATATATTGATCCAACGTAATTGAATAGTGGGGGACAATCACACGGATTACCCGGATTACCCACAAGAAATCGAGTGTCATTCAACGCAAAAAGTTACAGTTGACAACATGCCTTTGCAATTTGTCCTAAGCCAAAAGGGCAAAAAAATGCTCTTTTGATTATGAAAGAGACGATGTCTTTGTATATACTCAATATTTATCCAGTGAAAGTGCGTAAAAAATTGTTACTGTTTACATTCGGTCCTGAAATTACGGGACAATATTACGATTTGAAAACTTGTCTATTTATTTGCCTTGTTTCCGTCGAATCCCAATTAAGAATACATATTTTGTGGTATTTACATAATAAAACAAGCTCTATTACCCTTCATTAAGTACCCACAGTTTTTTATTTGAAACTTTGTAGCATGTTCAAAACAATTGTAATGAATTAAACTAGTAAGAAAACAAAAAATGATGAAATGAAATCTGATGAAATAAAATGTAATGAAATGGAGTGATAAATTGTGCTGTAATAAGTAGAGGTGATACCTTGTAGGTTGATGACTGCTGAAACTGTTTATTTCATTACTAAAATAAGGATTAATTGTCAATTGTCGATGAAGGTTCTTTTGTAGGTACATTTGTCATCAGATTTTTGTATGTTATGATTCTATTTGATCGTTAACAGTTTTTAATCAACTTGAGAGGATTTTGTTAGAATAACAAAAGACTAATGGGGGGATGAGTATCTGAGAGCTTCTTCTCGAGTTTTTTGTTGATTTTTGTTTATTTTAGTTCTGAGAAATTGAGATTTTTTGTTTTTTGTTTATATAATTGATGATTACTAAAACTGTTTATTCATTACAAAAACCAACATTAATTGTCGATTGCTGAGAATGTTATGAATTGGCAATTGTCGATTGAGATTTTTTTGTAGATACATTTGTGATCAGATTTTAATGTGTTATGATTCTATTTGATCAGTAACAGTCTTTCATCAACTTGAGAAGATTTTGTCAAGATAACAAAAGACTAACGGATGTGGATGAGTAGCTGAGAATTCTTCTCGCGTCTTTTCTTTATTTTCAACTGGAAATACTTCTCTCAGTGAAGTTGAGTTTTGAGAAATTGCGGGTTTTGTTTTTCTTTTATTTATAGAATTAATGATTACTGAATCTGAATATTGAAACTGAAAATGACTAAATTGATGATTACTAAAACTGTGTATTTCATTACTAAAATCAATATTAATTGTCAATTGATGAGACTGTCTAATCTGATTGATTCTCCTGTCGATGAAGGTTCTTTTGTAGACAAATTTGTCATCAGAATTTTAATGTATTAGGGCACAATTTCATCTTCACAGTTTTTTAAACACAACTTGAGACGATTTTGTTACAATAACAAAAGACTACTGGGGTGGATGAGTATCTGGAACCGCTTTCAAATAAAGTTTTGACGGTGAAATCATTTGATGAGAGATTTTTATTTAGTTTTTTGGGCGAGTTTTGGAGGTGGAGGACTATTGAAACTGTTTATTTCACTACTAAAATAAGTATGAATTGGCAATTGTCGATTGAGATTTTTTTGTAGACACATTTGTGATCAGATCTTAATGTGTTATGATTCTATTTGATCATTAGCAGTCTTTCATCAACTTGAGAAGATTTTGTCAAGATAGCAAAAGACTAACGGATGTGGATGAGTAGTTGAGAGTTCTTCTCGAGTCTTTTGTTTATTTTCAACTGAAGATACTTCTCTCAGTGAAGTTGAGTTTTGAGAAATTGCGGGTTTTGTTTTTCTTTTATTTATAGAATTAATGATTACTGAATCTGAATATTGAAACTGAAAATGACTAAATTGATGATTACTAAAACTGTGTATTTCATTACTAAAATCAATATTAATTGACAATTGATGAGACTGTCTAATCTGATTGATTCTCCTGTCGATGAAGGTTCATTTGTAGATGAATTTGTCATCAGAATTTTAATGTATTAGGGCATAATTTCATCTTAACAGTTTTGTAATCAACTTGAGAAGATCCCATCCTACTGAATGGAAAGTTATTGTTCTCCCCGAATGCACTAGAGTATGCTTCATTATAAGAATATTCCAAAGAATAATAGTGTTGTGGAAAGAAAAAAAAAGAAAAGAATAATAGTAGGAAATTATTTGTTTCAGGGATTAATCTAGCAGCAATTGAGTTGAGACAGGTCGCTGCCAGCTGTGGCGATGGCAAAGGGGACAGATTCAGGATCTCCATACCCTATGCAAATCAGAAGCTGGACTGGGTGGTCATGTTCAACTCCATCTGCCCTGACGAGGGGCCGGACTTCGAGTTCTCTGATAAGTCGTTCCTCGCTGATCCAGCTTCACAGATTCTCGAGGAATTCATCCCCAGTCTGTATCGATGGAATCACCTGGAGCCTGATGCCTTACTGAGAGTGCTGACAGAGCTGGTTTTTCATTATAAAAAACACCAGGTATGCACGTATGAAAAAAATTTCACAGATAAACCTAATGAATTCGTTAGAGAATTCTATTCGATCTATATTGAACTTTCTATTAATTTATGGGCAATTGTAATAAAATGTTCAACAGAAAATATTTTACAGAAAAAGTCAAGAGAATTTGATTATTTATACAACTTATTCTATTGAGATATTTTTCGTCGAATTTCCTTGGCTTGAATTTTCTAAGTTATTTTGATTAATTTTCTTGATGAAAACAAAACAAGTGAGAAATTGCTCTTATATTGCATATAATATAGTTATTTTTACTAATAAATTAGCAATATGTTTCTGAATGCCTATTTTGCACATCAATTCCTTCTTCTTTTTAACTAATTTTGGCAGATTTTCAACTTATTTGAATGTTATCATCATCATTATTCTTATTATCCCTTTTTTCTATACAACCGATTGTCTTTTTTACGGTTCTATCTCTCCCCTCAGCCTTTCGATAAAATGTTAATAGAAAAAGTTTATTTATACGTACTTGAATGAATTTGAAATATCACATTTGAAGTAACCATCAGAAAGCTCACTTTCAGGGAAATTCATGGAAAATTCGAAATTGTCAACAATCAGCATAAAAATGAAATCAACCAATATAGCTATAGTAATCATCTTTTAACTTCGACTTAATGGCATTAAAACAAACATTTCAAGCTATGATTAAATTCATTTGAAGCAAGATATTCAAGGATATCCCCGTAATTCTGATTTTCAAAAAATACCATTCAATCAATTCAGAACATTTTTCTGGTTATCGTGGGACAACCGGTCTTCGGAAAAATTTGAAAATAAAAAAAAAAATCGATGAATTGAATTTTAATTAATTGCGACTGATAGGGCTCAACAATACCTACATTCGAAAAAAAAAAATTTCATCCATTCATTAGCGAACAATTCAAGAAAAACTTTGTTGCATACGTACACATATGCACACACACGTACGAACGAGGTCTAAAAATTGCATTTTTGTATCATACTGGGTCGATATAACCCAAAACATCCAAAACTTGAATGTGAACGATTACAAAACTTCTTTTCGGAACAAAAAACTACACTACATTAATGTAAAAGCAATTTCCCACTTGTTTTGTTTAATTTTCTTGATGAAAAGAGAAGTAAAATGCCTTAACTCTTTGAATCCCGAATAACCTGAACTAAATTCTCCACAGATCGACCAGCTGAACCAATTCGGCGATCGTCTGAACATAGAGTACAAAGCCCTCCTCTCCGAGACAGAGATCTGTAGTGAAGACGTGGAACTAATCCTCCTCCCAAACAGCACCCAGCCCGAGGAAGCGCACTTTCTGATTCGCATTGCCATAGACTTTTCGAAACTCCCAGGGAAGCACGCAGTGATCAACAGCGACGCCGTACTGCTCCTGGTGACCTTCCAGGGCCCTCATTGGAATCGCATTACCCCTCACCTCTACTTCTCCAAGGACCTCGAGGAGACCTTCGGCGGTTCGAACGCCCTGCACCTGCCATCCTTCCCTGAGGACAAGAGTCTCATGGAGTACGTACCTGAAGTGAAAAAATCCATAAACGACAAGATCAACTTGCTCATCACGACCTTCGAGAAGAAGAGGAATTTCGTCAATGCAGTGCTGTGTCTCCAGAGTGTGAGCGTCCTCGAGTACGATGCTGTTAACTTCGACTATATCGTTTGTTTGCTGGCTCATCAAGACTTCCACTTCCTCCTCCAGTTCCATCTCCCTCCGACATTCCCAAGGGACGCCCCGAGGATCACGATGCAGTCGATTTACCACATGACGTCCAAGACGGATCTCTTTAAACATGTGATGGTTGATTTCGTCCCTTACAGCCCTCGCTGGGAGCCAGAGATGATGTTCACGAAGGCTCTCAATCATATCATTACGAAGGAGGTCGACAAGTTCAAGAATATCTCCATGAAATACCGCCGTTGATATTTCTTTCATTATTCTTTTCGTCGTTATGAATATGTGATTAAAGTTACTGACTCTTATGTGATTCATAAATTTAATAAATATAAGTTCAGAGTAATTTTATAGTCCATTACTGGACTTTGAATGTTATTTCATGTACCTTGATATGAATCCCAGTCTGATGAATATCAAATGAATTTTCATCTGAGAGGTGCAACGAACCGCATTAGTAAGATCCTCAACAAACAATATTCGGACGATTTTTCAGGTTCTAAAGAAGAAAAAATGCTGCCAGAATATTGACTAAATCTTAAAGATATTTCGAAAGGAAAGATCGAGAAAGGGCAGGGGATGTCAGGTGAACGCCATTTGGAAAATTGCCTTTCTGGTTTTTTAAAATCACCTGTGATGACATAATTAAGAGAAAATTGCTATTTTAAAATTCCTCAAAATTTCCAAAACTTGTAATCGAAAGAATTAAAGTGCCCTATCAAAATAAATTAGCAATAGCTTATTAAACAACTTCAGAATCTCCTCAAACTCCAAATTACCAAAAAGGACAAATAAACACGGCCACAAATGAATTAATTGGTTTGTCGTTTTTTTTTAATATGTAAGGTACAATAATTATAATTTATAAATTTACATGTACAATGCTTATAACTTAGATTTATCATTTTCTTTCATCTTTAATATTAAAATAAACTTAGACTGCATAACACTATTATTATTCGAATAATCAGTGGCCTACATTCGTCCCTCTGAAATATCTCAAAAACATTGAGTTTTCCTCGTTCAATAATTTTCAAACGACTCAAAAAATGTAAAAGAACATCTTTTTTTTCATTAACAATAATTGATTTTTAGTTATTGGGGCAAGATGCTCAAGATCAATGATTATGCGTGCACAATTGCCGACGAGTTAATAAACTCTTCGTGTCTCTTCCATCGCATGTTTTTCGTGAACAATAAATCGAACATTCGATAATAGTGGACCCGCAATTACGTACAAATGGTTTTTTTAGATTCTTGGGTTCAATCCTATCTCGCATTTTATTTAAGTAACAACTAAAATTTTCAAATTTTAAAAATACAGAAGTAATCGAGAGCACTGACGCTTCCAGAGTTGAATAAATCTTGCAAAAAAATCGTGGGAACAGAGTGGTAAATCGTACAGCAATAAATTATGTGGATGAATAAATATATATCAAAATATATGGTGGTCGTCGTGAAACAACAGTTTCAATTGTTTGTGTCGTTTTATTTATCTAATTGCGTTTTAATTCAGCCCTGGACAACTTTCATTCAGCACATGCTGTCACGTGATGATAATTGTTATGGCTGCGATCAGGATGAGGGTAAGTCGGGCATAATACTTGATTCTTCCAGTGCTGGCAATGGCAATGCATTCCTCTCCTCCTCGATTCGAGCGTCTGATAGCTTTAGGAACTTGATGACTTTGTCTGTTGCTTGGATACCACAACTGCTGGCCTCACTCTGATGCACAGGAAATTAAAGAACATGGTTAAGGGTTTTTGGATGGAATTTTCCATATGCTTACTCAGAATTTTCATGGTATTATAATACCAGTAAAATTTCTAGGAATTTTTTCCGTGTAAATTGGAAATTTCATGGGAAAATCAATGGAAATGGTAAATTTTATCTCAATTATTCCATGAAAATTCATAGAAATCTGGAAAATTCAGGTGAATTTATTCTTGGATTTTAAATCAATGGAAAATTCTGTGTACTTTTAGACTGAATATTCATGTTTTGATTGAAAATTCAACCAAAATTCAATCAAAATTCTGTTATTTTTCTGCTGCTTAAAAATGATAAATTTCACAGAACTTTCACGGAAATCTGAAATTTCATTATATTTTTCCCTCCAAATTGAATTGAATTTGATATATTTCTTACACTCATTGCAATTTTTTATCCCATTACAGTTAATAATAAAAAAATTTTAAGGAATTTTGTAATTGTAAATTTAAAATTTCATGAGAAAATCAATAAAAATCATAAATTCCATCTCAATTGTTCCAGGGAAATTCATAAAAATCAGGACAATTCAGGTGCATTTATTCTTTGATTTTAAATCAATTGAAAATCATGTGGAATTTTGTACTGAATATTCATGTTTTGATTGAGAATTCAAGTAAATTGAAGAGTTATTAGTTTCCTGCTGCTTAAAAATTGGAAATTTCACTTAACTTTCACGGAAATCTGTAATTTTATTACTTTTTTCCCTCAAATTTGAATTGAATGTCACACATTTCTTTCACTCATTGCAATTTTCCATCCTATTCTAGTTATACTCAAATTTAAAGGAATTTTTACATTATAAATTAAAAATTTCATAGGAAAATCAATAAGAACTGTAAATTTCATCTCAATTAATCCATGAAAATTCATAGAAATCAGGAAATTTCAGGTGAATTTATTTTTGGATTTTAAATCAATGGAAAATTCAGTGTATATTTGTGCTGAATATTCATGTTTTCCTGAAAATTCAATTCAGTTGGAGAGTCATCGTCTTCCTGTTGCTTAAAAATGAAAAATTTCATTGAACTTTCACTGGAGTCTGTAATTTCATAATTTTGTTCCGTCTAAATTGAATTGAATGTTACACGTTTCTTACACTCATCGAAATTTTTCATTCAATTTTAGTTATATTAAAATTTCAAGCAAGTTTATAATTGCAATTTCAAGATTTCAGAATCATCAGCATTAAATTAAATTAAATACTGTATCAAACAATATTTTCCCATTCTTTCCTCAAATCCCTCATCCTCAAAAAATCCATGAAAAACAAAAACGTGAAGATCATCAACTAAAATAATTCGAAATTTTGATTTCAATGCTCTTACCGACGCTGTCAAGTTCATAAAATTGTAGAACTTCTGAAGAACAGCCACCATTGTCGAGAAGTTATTCCCAGGAATCTTCCCTCGCACCAGTGCCTCATACTCCTGCAACACCAAAATGAAAGACAAATTAATTCAGTCAAATTAACTCACTCATGCTATTCATAAACCTGAAAATTTCCATTGATTTACATACTTTGTTGTCCATAATTAAATATCCCAGTAGTAGAACTACGTAGGCACCAATGAGCGTGTGCTCCATGTGTCGACCGGCCTTCTGCAGTACTGAAAGTCACACAACGAAAAAGTTTAAAATATTTTCCACCAGAAATTTCACACAAAAAATGCTTTTGAGGTTTCGTAATTACATTTTTGTACAGTCTTTTCAATGAACTCGTCCTGCGACTCTTTAGTAGTGGTAACAGTCTCGGTCTGCTCCGAGTCCTTCTTTCCATCGAGAATAGCATCGGTTTTCTGCTCTTCACTTATCGCCAGCTCCTCTTGTTTGTAGAATAGATCGATGAGTGCCTCAACTCCACTCTCTCGTCCTGAAAAAAAAACATTCCAGTTACTATTAATCATATTAAGAAATTTAAATCAATTAAAATCGATGGAGACAATTTAATCTGAACAATTTAGTGATTTTATGAATTTTCAATCATTTAAAATTGACACAAATGAATTGAACTTTTTTTATCATCAACTTAATTTTAACAACTTGTTAAATATGATATCATCTTCACAGCAGATGATTGTTAAAACAGGTTTGAAAATTTATTTAAGGTCCGGTTGTACTATCTTTTGAACGTTATCTCGATGTCTTTTTTCATCTTTCATCATCTGAAATTGTCAATTGCGTCCTGCATCATGCAGAAGTTTTGAAAAATTATGAATGAATAATCAAAAAAAAGTAGAAGAAATTCTTAACTTTTTCGAAGAGCATTTTTAATTTATATTCAGAATAAGTTGAATAACAAGAAATTGAAAAATGTATCTAATTTACGGTGACAAATGGCAGCCTGTCACCCAATATCATGCAGGGGGAAGACTGATTTCGTAAATATTTTCCCATACTGCACAGAGACATTTATTACGGAAGAAGCTCTTTGAAAAAAGTTGTAATATTTTGGAGAATTTTTTAATCACACTTTTATCACATAAAAATGGCAGATGACTACATACCACTGTTTTGAAAATTGAGATACCTAGCTGTCACTTCCCATGAGGAGTTAGTGTTTTGTTATCCACCATGGAAAATGACAGCTAATAGATAATTTGCCACAGCGAATCAGATATTTGTAATTTCCACTTTTTCAACTCATTCTGAATCTCAATTAAAAACGCTCTTTGAAAAAGTTCCGAATTTTTTCAATTTTTTTAATCATTTTATCATAATTTTTGGGAATTTCTACATGATGTACCACTCAATTGACAATTTTGGATTACAATAAATGAAAAAATTCAGATAACATTCCAAAGATAGTACACCCGGGCCTTAAAATCTAATTGTTATTTTAAATTGAACTGTTGAAAATTTCTCTTTTTTTTTAGAGTCTAGAACTTACGATCAAAAATATTCTCCGAGGACGGTGGTGCCCTGGACTCCATGAGCATCTTCTTGTTGTCATCACACTGTTCAACCAAATTAATCAACAATATAAGTGTCAGCATCATCATGTCAAAACGTTTCTCCTCAGGCAGAGACTCTGGCACACGTAATAAGAGATTCAAACTGCAGTCTACAACACCATTCTGCGAGCCCAATGATTTGCTGCCAAAAGCTGGAATGAAACACCCCAAAAAGCCATTAAAACCCCATCATCTGCAGTTCTCACTGGATCAACTGAGTACGAAAATGATAAAACAAATATTCGATCAACAAGTTACAACTTCTCTACTAACATCAAAGTGTATAAATATATATGGGGTATTCCATGTGAACTCACCCAGGTCAAAACCCTCACCATCGCCAATCATATTTCCGATTTTTCCTGTGGTTGTATATGGAAAAAAGTGACTTCTCAAATTTTTTCAGATTTTTTGAGGCATCCTGTCGGCAGCCATGTTTTTTTGCAAGTTTTATCTTCAAATGCCTGTAACTTCCGTAAAAATCAAACGATTTGGGTTTTTTTTTACAAAATGTGCGTCTTCGAACACACTTTCCATGTAAAAATATACCAATTTTTTTCAATTCGTTCTTCCATCGATTTCCTCAGAAAAACCTCAAAAAACTTCAAAAAACGAGTCGTTTTCAAAGTTGGACCCTTTTAATATTTTTCAAAAAATTTCAGTGAATATATTGGACTAAAATAAAATTTTTCACCAAAGGCCAAAGTGGGATCTCTATTAGGACACACCACTCGGAAAGATTTATTGTTAACGAATTTTCAAAAAATAATCAAATTGTTC